CAAATCTTCAAAGAATCAAATTATTTCAAGGTCACCAAACAGCATCTCAAAATAAAGTTGAAGAACACTTACAGCTGTAGCATTATTCACAATAGCAGAAACATGAAACCAACCATGCTGTCCATCAAAACTGGACTGGATTTTTAAAATGTGGTATATATACACAATAGACTATTACACAGCCATAAAGAAAGACGAAATTATGAGCTTTGCAGCAGCTTAGATGGATTTAGAGTCTACAATACTCAGTAATCTATCACAGAAACAAAGAACTGAGTACCACATGTTCTCACTCATAAGTGGACCCTGAACAATTATCATAATACTGTAAGAAAGGGATCAGCAGTAGTGGGAAACTGCCAGGGGAGGGGTGGGGCATACTTCATCAATGAGGGTACCTGATATCAAACCAGGTGAAGTGGGGACCAAAGTGAGACCCAAACTTTACCTGTACAATGACCATTTGTATACCTAACCCTGAATTGTACCCTAAATCTTTAAAATAAAAAATTAACAACAACAACAAAAAAGAATACTTCCAGTAGTGGAAAAGTATCTAGTACCTATGCCACATGACTGGCATCCAACAAAAAATTACAGGGTATGAGAAAAGCAAAAAAAAAAAAAATCAAGAGAAAAAGGAATCAGAACTGGTCTAGATAGAACACATACGATAAGTAGATAAGGTCATTAATTCAGTTACCATAACTATATTCCATACATTCACAAAGGCAGAGGAAAGACTGACTATGCTGAAACATAGAAGATTTTTAAAAGGGGGGGCATCTAAACTTCTAGGGACAAAACGTACAGTGTCTAAAGTGAAAACTACACATAGATCAGGATGAATAGCAGATTAGAAAAGGCAGAAGAAAAAATCAGTGAACATGAAGACAAATCAAAAGAAGCTATTCAAAATGAAACACAGAAAAAGACTAACACAAACAACAGGGCACCATTTTGCTACAGGACAATTTCAAGTGACCTAACACATATGCAGCTAAAGTTCTCAAATGTGGGGAGAAATAGTGGCTAATTTTTCCAAATTAGATGAAAACTAAAAATCTACATATCCAAGAATCTTAACAAACCCAAAGCACATGAATCACAAAGAAAATTACATCAAAGCTCATCATAATTAAAGTGCTTAAGACTAGTAATATCTTGACAGCAGTAAGAAAAGAAGCCAATTCTATTGTCAAAGGAGCAAAGATTAAAAATAACAGTAAACTTCTCACTGGAAAGAAGACAAGCCAGATACACAGTAAAACAAAATATTTAAGATACTGAAAGAAAAGAGCAATCAACATAGAATTCTGTACCCAGCAAAAACAAAAATGTCTTCCAAAAATATAAGTGAAATATACCTTTTTCAGTTGTATAAAAGCTGAAAAAATTCATTGCCAAGAGAACTGCACTATAAGAAATGTAAAAGAAAGTCCTTCAGAAAGAAAAAATAATACCAGATGGAAATCTGAATCACACAAAGGGATGAAGTTCACTAGAACTAGTATGTACATGGTTAAAAATAAAATACCATTTTTCTTACCTTTCAAACATCTTTAAAAGATAAATAATTATCTAAAGCAAAAAATGGCTACAATATATTTTGGAATTTATAACAAATGAGGGTGTAAAGTGTATGGGAAGTGAAAATATACTATTATAAAGTTATAAGGTTCTCAGACCATAGATAAAGTGTACAATATTATTTACATAGGGAGGCCATAAATCAAAACATACATTATCAACTCTAAAGCAATCACTAATAAAAGGGCACACAGGCAAAACAAACAGAAAACAAAGAGCAAAATGATAGATTTGGAGTCAACCATATCGATAATCATGTGACAGGTAAACAGTCTCAACTCCTCAACTAAAAAGCAGAGATCACTGGACTGGATTACATGCAAGACCCAACTATACACTGCCTACAAGAAATCCATTTCAAACATAAAGACACAATAGTTCAAAAGTAAAAAACTATCTCACGCCAAAATAAAGTTGGAGTGCCTATATTAATATAAATTTCAAAGCAAAGGACATCACCACAGATAAAAAGGCTTATTGGTAATAACAACGGGGTCAATTCATTAGGAGGACACAACCCTCCCATGCACCTAAGAACCCATCTTTGAAACACATAAAGTGAAAAATAAGAGGACTGAAACCACAATCACTGTTGAGGAGTTCAACACTCCTCCTTCAATAGCTGATAGAACAACTATATAAAAATCTGTAGAGACACAGAAAACTTGAACAATACAGCTAACTCGATCTAATCAACATTTATACAACACTTTACACAATGCACTGCGCAGGGAATAAGGCAGATCATATTCTGGGCCATAAAGCAAGTCTCAATGAATTTTAAGTATTATCAGTAAATACAGGGTACCTGCATAATGAACATTTGTATACCTAACCCTGAATTGTACCCCACATCTTTGAAAGAAAAAAAAGGAAAAAAAAAAAATTCCAGTTATACAAAGTGTGTTCTCTGACCATAGTGGAATCAAATTAGAAATCAATAACAGAAAAATATCTGGAAAATCTCCAAGTATTTGAAACTAAATAACATATTTCTAAAAATTAATGAAAAACTCCACCTGTTTTAAAGAGATGGTACTTACCTTTTTTCTTAGATTATGACTATGATACAAACTACACAGTTTTTGCCTGAGCTACTGATAAGCTCAGGGCTAAATTGAAAACCTAATTACAATAGTTTTATCTACTCTTAAGGCATTCAATCATTCAAGCCAGTCTGTCCTTCTAGCATGCAAGTTTATAGAACTCAGGGATACAAAGTAGATACAACACAGATCTTGTACTAAAGCCCAGTTTAATGGTCAGGTCAAGCGAACAGTGTATTTTTAAACTATTTTCATTTACTGAAAATCTCTCCTTTAACTAATGTGTAAATATGCCCTTTCTTTAAAATTGTCTTTCTTTCCAGAAACAGATGGTAGCCCCTTATCATACCCAACTAGGTACTCATGAACAAGAATTTTAATATTAGCCTATATTAAGCATATCCAAAATGTATGAAATTACAAAAAAAATATAATGTACTTGGCAAGGCCAAACAGTAATAGGCTTTTGGATGATTTTTAGCAGTGCTCCATTCTCCTGGAGTAAATAAGCTAGAGTTGACTACCTTTGAACATACTATCAGCAACAATTTAAGACTTTTTTACGTCAAAGAACAAACAATAGATAACCATGCTCAAGTTAGTGGAGATGATCACTTAGGGAAAAGGGACCTAGAAGGGACAGATAGTCCAATGTCAAGGCGGTCCATGGAGCCGGGTGGTGAGCATCAAGGTGGACCAGACCATGGAGCTGGGCCAGTGAGTGCCAAGGTGGACCACAGAGCCGGGACATGAGCACTAAGAAGGACCAGACTACGGGCTAGGTGTGAGCACCAGGGTGGACCATGGATCCAGGACCTGAGCGATGAGGTGGACCACAGAGCTGGGTGGTAGCTGCAGAGGAAGCCTGGGATGGAGTCAGGCCTCTGCAGGGTCCACCCTGGAAACCCTCTGGACCTCAGTTTCCTCCTCTGTCAAACGTGGGGTCACCAAAGATTATCTCCAAGGGTTCTTGCAGTCCAGGAGTCCACAGGTGGCACTGGCCTGGAATGTCACAGGAAACACCCCAGGAAGCGTGCTAAACCTCCCACCGCGTGCCACCTGTGGGGTTAGGCAGACAAAGGCCGGTGCTGCACCAGGGGTGAAATGAGGCACTAAGATGGCGCGCACAGTCGAAGAGCAGAGTCCTGTCTGCGCTCTCTTGGCTGCAAGGCATGAGCAACAGCAGTCTGACTCTCAGATTCCTAGTTCCCGAAAAAAGGAAAAAGGGGCAGAAATAGACACTCCGTGAAGATGAGGGAGACCAACTCCCCCCTGCAGAACCTGGTGAGACACATGGAAGCCAGAGGGGCCACAATGGCCCACAGTGAGTAAAACTACCTACAGCTGGATGCATAAGGCTGGGTAAGGCTATCTACGGCCGTGTTCAGTTGCAGAGCGGTGTAGGGGACACATGCTAAGGATCAGCAAACATCATTTTGAATCTTGTCTCTGCCTCTTCCACCTGTGTGAACTTGAACAAACCAGCTTTCTGCACCTTAGTCTCCTTGACTCTAGACAGACTCACTTGTAGATTTGAGAACTAAAGGTAAGGCCATAAGATGTCTAGCGTGACACTGGGCACATGGCAACTACTCGAAAGCTCAGAGCTTTCATTCCAAAAGGCGGGGCTGGAGACTGCACAACAGAGTCCCCAGAAGGTGGGCAGGCGGGTCTGCGACACGGGCGAGGGCCTGAACCACGTGTGCTGGCCCAGGACTGGCCAGCAGTCTGCTGAGAGCCTGGCAATGGACACAGGGTCCTGGGGTGGGAGCAGGTGCAATTCAGGATGCTTTTCCCATGAAGGGAAACTGGACAACAGGCTAGCGTGTGGCCACGGTGTGGGAGTCAGTCTTGGCTGTGGCAGGGCCAGAGCACATGAAGAGCATCTTGGGACCAGGCCATCCCGAGTACGTGTGGTCCGACTTGGGGACGGGGCTGGGTTCTTTCAGAAGCTGCAGCGGCAGGAGCCAGGCGGACACCTGAGGTCACTAACAGTCAGGGTGGGAGGGCACATGTACCTGATCCGAGGTCATGACAATGGGGTGAGGCACCCCTCAGGGAAGATGTCCAAGAGCCCACAGCTTACAGAGGAGGAAGGGGAGTGATGACCACAAGACTCCAAGCTGCATGGCAGGAAACACAGAAGTGCACCTTTCTTGGTGACAGTGATGTGCAAGCTTACGAGTGACTGTCTTAAGGCACAACTGAAAGATCGTCAGGGGTCTACAGGGACCACAGCCTCCCCTGCCCACCATGAACTTCACATCATTTCACTGCTCCCACATGCCTGTGACTTAAGCCAGTAGGGGAAGGGAAAGGGAAAGGAAGCCTCACCAAGAATTCGCAGGAGTTTACAGTGCTTACCTTGACAGCTAATATTTTCCCACTCGGGACATGATATGCTCTATAGGGAGAAAAGAAACAACAGGGTCACTAAACAACCAAAAAATGTTCATCCAGACATTTCTGCAGCAACAGGGACATGGTGCTTTCAAAGAACACTAATAGCGCTAATACTCACATTTCCACAATGTGGAATCAATGGTTTGCAAAGTGATTCTTCATGCGTTACCCGAGAACCACCTTTTGAGGCAAAACTGGCACACTGTCATCCTCCTTTATAGAGGAGAGTGCTGCGCTTCACCTCATGGCACGAGTGGTGGCAGAATGAGACCTCAAACCCATGTCTTCCAGCTCCAGGTCCAGGTCCCTGGGGCTGTCACTGTGTGGTAGGTCCCTATAGCCTGTGCAGAACCACAGAAATTAGGAGGGCCTGCTTGTGTTTCCTTGGATGGCACACACAGATAAACCGCAATGCTGCAGTTCGTCAAAATAATCTCAAACACATAGAATTAGCTATGGCTTACAACAGAAATTTCATGTAAGGAATCAGAGTTATAAGACCCAAGCATGTGGTTCTTTGGAAATACGCTAGCTCAAAGTGTCAGGTCAGATATAGTGAAATAACTACAACTTAAATCTAAAAATATGAATACGTTCATTTCTGGAAAAAAGTAAGATAACAGAGTTAGCAGAAATAAAATACCATTACTTTTCATCAAGACTTTTCGTGTTTAAATAGAGCATGACCTTGACACACGTACTGCAGGGGTTGGATATTCTGAACGTCATTTGGGAACACTCTGTTTTATAGAAACATTTCAAAACAAACCACATAACACAAACAAGCATTGTTACTGCAAGCCGATAAAAGTATAAAGAAGCTAATTCGTTTGGAAGAACTAAACTTTTGCTCTGTAGAGGGTTTTATACATTAGCCAAGACCTGACTGTTCTCTCCCTCACCTGATAAGGGTTAAGACATGAATGGGGCGGGGAAGATATGGGGGAGCAGAAGTTAGTGCCTCAGAAATTCCCTGTCTTCACCTGCCCAGCCCCCAAACTGCTCATATCTTACAAATAGAAACAAAATGTATATACTCCACTGTTACCTGAATGGAAACATCATTTTCTGCTGTTTTGGCAGAAATAGTTGTTTGGTTGCTCTGACAAAATTTTTAACAGCTTTATTGAGATAATTTACATATGATAAAATTTGCTTTTTTAAAGGTTACAATGCAGTAACTTTGAATAAATTTACAGAGTTGAGTAAATGTTTTGAAGGTAAGTGACCTACAGAAATGGGTTAGTTGTTAGAGAGCCCATAGGTATTTGTCATATTTTTCACATGTAAAAATGTTACAAATTAAGGCAAGACTATGAAAACATATATACAGAGTACATGTGTGTATCCAAACATGTGAGTGCTATAAGAACTTATTCTATTTTTCCTACTTGAGTGGGCAAAGGTCAAGCCAATTAACGAAGGCAAGCTTAGCTTCTATTATAGCAATTAACTGTACAAAAATTCAGGTAAACCTCATTTAAAGGAAAGGCAAGAATATAAAAATTAGGTGACAATTCTCTAGCCTGTGAAAATATCTAAAGACCTTCTCTAGATAACAACCTTCCTAGTATATCTGAATATCAATTATAAAACTAATCAATCAAAAAAATTTTTTTTGAGGCAGAATCTCACTCTGCTGCCCAGGCTGGAGTGCAGTGGCACCATAGCTCACTACAGCCTCTAACTCCTGGGCTCAGGCGATCCTCCTGCCTCAATCTCTCGATTTGCTGGGACTATAGATGTGCACCACCCTACCCGGCTCATTTCTTAATTTTTATTTTTGTAGAGATGGGGGTCTTACTATGTTGCCCAGGCTGATCTCAAACTCCTGGACTCAAGGGAGTATCCCACCTTGGCCTCCTGGCATTAAAGGAGTGAGTCTGGCCAAAAAAATTTTTATACTTTGTATAAAGTGCTACACATTTTATAAGTAGAAGCTCTATATTATACTGGCTTTAGAAGAAATACCACTTACTTTACTATTTATTTTAATATCAGACTTTTATAGCGCAAAGCTAAACTTCACATCATGATTTGATTCATGATACATCCAAACTCAAGTAATAAACTGATATATAAAAACATATACCATATTTTTATCAATGCCTGTCAAAAAGTTGTTGGACTAAACTAATTTGAAATGTGATTTCAAGGAATTTATTTATTCTGTATACAAACAAGTAGTATAATTTGTAAGATTTAATGATATATGATTTTTCTGTACCACAGATTCTTCCAATTTAGCTTTTTCAATATTGTGTACTAGAATCACTAACCAAGGACTGAAATAAGAAGACAAATAATTGAATGTACACACAAGGATTCAAAAGTTGTAGAAAGATCAGTGTGATGACTTTGAACAAGCAATACCTGGACTTTTGAGACCGGCAGCAGTGATAAGAAAATGATGAGCGGATAGCCTAGTACATCTTCCAGACTGGACTGTTTGGCAACTTAATTAGCTTGTCAAGAAAGCTGATCTCTTTTCCAAAAGAAATGTCTCCTATTTCGAAGTGAATTAAAGGGGAGGCTTGATAATTTAATTATGACGCACGCTAATTCATCCGTGGAGGTTTGGGTTCGATTTCGAGCAATAAAGATGCTATGTGGTTTGGTTTACAGTGCAATGACAGTACCAATTTAACATTTAATCATCAAGGAGAAGCGGGTGACAAAGGCAATGTCAGGCATGAGTCGAGTGCAACCCTTAACTTTGCAAATGGCATTCTACCTGGAGAAAAGGAATTTGTTTACTTTCAGCAGATCCTGTGTCTCAATTGCCTTGACCTTCCTCCACACATTAACTGTAAAGTGATTAATGAAGTTTGAATGGAGGCTCTGGTTACACCAAAAGACAACTATACACCTCTGCAATGTTTTAATTAACAGCTAACACTTCAGATTAGTTTGTTGTTGCCACAGTAATTACCTGTTCCCAATGAGTGCACGGAGGAATCATCTTGATGAGCTATTTTTAGTGTTTAGTCCTGAAGTGTGTTCCATTTTGTTGGTGACCAGGCCTTCTGGGAGGAGTCCCAGTCCTTCAAATTGAGTGCACAGCATACACGCTTTTGGATGGCAAAAAGCTAGTAGCCTGGCATAAACTTTTGAATATTTAAAATAACAAAGAGTCCAGCACAAGAGAATACTTACTAGTCATGCTTTCTTTTTTCATTTGTAATAACAGGTTCTAGATGACTGGACAAAGACACTGGGATCGACCTTTAGTCTCAGTGGAGTACAGAATCAGAGAATTTACTGTGCTAGTAGGAATTCGAGAAAATTGTCTAGCCTGGTCCTTTTCTTTCACAGTGGAAACACAAGCTCACACAGTCAGCAGCAAGGCTAAGACTGGAACTATGGCAGAATATACATATTTGAGAACCAAAAGGAAATATGTGCTGATATTTAATCTTTCTTAACTGAACTATGGCACAGGGGAAGACATAATTCAAAACTTATAAAGGTACTGAACTACTTCAATTCGGCTAAGGACCATCACAGCGAATCTCTCCAGGCAAGGAAGCAACAGAGATTATGGCCAGTCTCCCCTGGGTGGCAGAAGAGCAGAGGATGTGCCCAGGCTCTGACCCAAACTCTGCCAACTCCTAACCACGTGACCTTTTGGTCAACCTCACCACGTCTCACCCTCTCAAGTCTGGAGAGGGAAAGCAGTCACCACCTTATAGAGCTGTGAGGGTCCAATGATATAATACTAAGGACAGGACACAGCACTTGGCAAGCTTGAATTAAATGCCAGGAGGACAGGAAGTTTTCAGAGTAGCTGAGTGTTTTAAGAGTAACATCTGCTAAGACAGACTGAAGGGGCTCAAAGTCAGGCTCTGTGCTCCACAAATGAGTCTTCACAACAAAGAAAGGCAAAAGCTTATACTACATCATTTATTGCTAATAAAACTTAAACAAGTAGTATTATTTCATGTTGAACCAACTTTGGAGATAAAGCATTAAAACAGTCACCTGAAATGCTATGGATATACCATGATTCCAACTGTAGACTTCTTACCACACTTATTACTTGCCCACTACATAAGCGATTCACACTAGAGACAGGTGTGCAAAGTGCCCACTCAGCTGCTCATCACCACAAATGCCCTGTGAAGTCACTGCTGCTGAATGAGAAGGCCACTATTCATTCTCCTCGGGTGTATAAGTAGGAAAGTATAAGCTGCCCTAAAAATATGTATACACCTTCCTTTGGTGTGTATCCCTGTAGCTGCCACAAAACTGCGGTGCCATTCTTCACGCTTAGTGCTCAGACACTGCCCTAGTGCACTACAGAAAAGTAGGTCTATCCCTCACACTGGGCAGTGAGCTCCACCATGTTTTACCCATCTTGTATTCTTAATGTTCAGCTCATGTCCTGGCCTATGGTAAGGATCCCAAACTTTAACAATGTTTGAAAAATAATTACTCTTTCTGGATGAAAAGAAGTATCACTTAGTGCTTTACTAAACATTTTCACATTCATTTAATTAATTCCATAATCCTACAAGTTATTATAATCATCCTCATTTCAGGAGTAGATTTCTAAGTGCTGAATCAAAAGTCCTTACAAGGATTTCATGGCCTGGTCCCTGGTGACCTCACTGATCTCTGCTGCTGCCAGTCTCCCTTATCTACAACATTCAACTCTGCTCCACCAAACATTCTCCTTCCTCAGGGCCTTTGCAGCCAATTCCTAAGGCCTGGACCACTTTCCCTGATGATCACTTGGCTTGCCCCATCACTGCCTTTAGATCCAGTAGTAATTCTTTGACCTTCCTACATAAAACAGCCCATTCTCCTTTCATTTTCTTCATTCCTCGCAGAATTGTCAACACCCAATACAATTTATTATGTGTCTCCCACCACAACAAAGGAAGCACCTATTCACTGCTATCATCTTCAGTGCCTAAAACTGTGCCAAGCACATTTTGGAACATCTGTAAAACACATTGTTAAACATCTCCATGAGTGCATTTTCTCATTTGCTATAGG